GGCGCGCAAGGCGGGGCCGGGTGGGAAGGACACTCCTGCAGAGGACGCGTCCCTGGTGAGCCATGCGGCTCCTGATGCTTTCCCGGCAGCAACAAATGCATTGTCCCGTAGCAGCTGCAGGCCGCCTGAACCATGTTACAGCGATGCAAAAGCACCGTTTGACAAATGCCAACAAGCCATGCATGCCCTCCCCATCCAAATCGCAGGGCCTGACACCTCAGCTTTATGAAGCCGTGCTGAGGGCGCTCGCGTCCCTGGCGGCCGCGCCGCCACGCCGTCCGGACGCGGACGGCGACACGGGGCCCCCCTGCGATGCAGAGGGGGACATCCTGGCGGAAGGAGGAGACCAGGCCGCCGTCTCGGACGTGGGCGCATGGCTGGCGCGCCAGCCGCTGGAGCCGCTGGCGGCGCTGGCCGCGCACGCGTCGCCGAGGGTGCAGGCGCGGGCGCTCAGGCTGGTGGCGCTGCGCGTCCGCGGCCCGGGCGGCGCCACGGAGGCGGTCGCGGCAGGCCTCGTCCCGCGCGCGGCGGCCGCGCTCGCGGGCGGGGCTCCGCTCGCGGTGCAGTTTGCGGCCGCGCGCCTGCTGCGGTGGCTGCTGGCTCTTGGGCAGGAGGGCGACGACGCTAGGGCGAATGTGTCAGCCGCCATGCATGGCGCGGACATGGAGGCGGCCCTCTTGGCGCTGCTGCTCTTGCCTGCAACCGCAGCGCCGGCCGCGGTGTCAGGCAAGCCCCGTGCGGGTGTCGGAGCCCCTATCGGGCCGGGGGCCAGCGCCGCGGCGGCGGCGGCGGCAGCGGCCGCGGCAGCGGCGCAAGCGGAGTCCCTGCGGGCGGCGGTCGAGCGGGAGGCGGCGCAGCTGATGGCCACGTTGGTCGACGGCAGCGCTGAGTCAGCGGAGCGGCTGATGGGCTTGGGCGCGCTCGAGGCGCTGGCGTCTCTGCTGCCAGCGGAGGCCCCCCCGCCGCCCGTCGATGCCAGTACGCTGCTCAGCGGCGGCGGCACCGAGCTTGGCGGCAGCAGGTCGCAGACCGGTGAAGTGCAGCAGCCGCCGGCCGGCGGCGGCAGCCGGCCAGGCACTACCAGCTCGGGAGCCGGCGCGCCAGGGGCTGCGGCTGCCGCGGGGCTCGGGCACCAAAACCCTGCCGCTGGAGGGGCCTTGACAGCGGACGCATTGGGGGCGCCCAGCGGTGTCCAGAAGACCGCGGCGCCGGAGGTAATGGGCGCCGTGCTCTCGGCCTTGGCTGCGCTGCTGTCGTATCACAGGCATGCAGCCGCCGCGCTGCTGACATCAGCGCCGTCGGAGGCGACACAGCAGGAGGATACAGCTGGTCTGCCAGGTGCCGCGACCACCAGCGGGTGGGCTGTGGCAGCGAGCGGTTTGGGGGAGGATGACGGTATTCAGCAGCATCGGCAGCAGCAGCAGCAGCAGCAGCAGCAGCAGCAGCAACAGCAGCAGCAGCAGCAGCAGCAGCAGCAGCAGCAACAGCAGCAGCAACAGCAGCTGAAACCACTTGCAGCCAAACTTATGGCCCAGCTGCTGGCACTCCTGGTTGCGCCCGAGGAGGCGCCTGCGGTCCCACAAGCCGAGGCCCCGGCGGCGACGACGCCGCGCTCTGGGCACGGCGCGACGTCAGAATCTGGCAAGGCCCACAAAAAGGAGGGAGCGGGCAGGGCGTCCGTTGTCAAGGTGCGCGCTGTGTGTTCTGCGGCCATCTGCGGCTGTGACTGATGAGGCCTATCAGCAGGAAAACCCTACCCTGATGCAACGGCCCTATCCGCCAGGCAATAGCTCACAGTTAGTGTCCGCCTGGTGTTTTGGTTTTCGCCATCAGCCGAACCACAAGGGCCACGTTGTGGCCAGGGTCTAGGATTTCAGCCTCACAGCCATGAGCTTTTGTGCCAAACAACGGCTGCCTCCCGACGCCCGCACGCCGCTGCAGGCCACGGCCGAGCCCCCCGCAGTGGCAGCCCCGCCACCGCCCCAGGCGCACCCTGAGCCCCCGCCCAGCGCCAAGTGTGGCGCGCTTGCCTGCCTCCAGGCTGCCTGCCGCCTGCCCGGCTTCTGGCCGGCCGCGGCGCCGCGCTATTGGCGACGCCTGAGGCGGCTGGTGGAGTGCGCGTCGGCCGCGACCGCCGGGCGCGGGCTGGCCGGTGAGGCAGGTTCTTGGCAGCTGCTGCACCCACCTGAGCTGCTGCTCGAGACAGCCGGGCTGCTGGCAGCGCTGGCTGAGTGCTGCAGCCCTGAAGAGGTGCAGCAGCTGGGCCTTGTGGCCGCTCTCAAGGCCACGGCCGCGGCGGCCGCAGCGTTGGATGTGGCGGCAACAGTGGAAAAGCCTGCGGGCGAGGATGGGGTTGCAGCAAACGCGGGTGCGGTAGAGGTGCCTGCCGATGGCGTCAGGTCGGCAGCCGCAGCCGTGGTGCGCAGCGGCGTGGCGCGGGCGCTGATGTGCCTGCCGGCGGCCGCGTTTGAGGCGCCCCCGCGGCCGCCGCCGCCGTCGCCGCCGCCGACCCC